TCAAGTAAGAAAGAGTACATTTATGTACACGAGATTCGTCACAGTTTAATAAATTTTTGTCTCTCTTTTCTTTAGTTTTGTCACATTCATAATTTTGTATCAGAGTTATATGTTAATTATGATTGCAGTACCTACTGTACTAATGTGTGCGAGAGACTGAGCAAGCTACTTGCAAAGGTATGTCAGCCATCAGCTGTTATTAAGCTTAGCCAATTACCCTGTACTATAGTACGGGGTATTTTGCTAAAATTTATTAGGAAAAAGTTGTTTATTTACTAATTATTTTCTGATGCATATGCATTGTACATGTTCTTATGTTGTGTAGAAAGTTTGAGTTAATTCCGATCAAGATTGGATTTATAATGAATTTTTAAAGTTTCTCCAAAATCTGACTAAAGTACCTGTACTATAATTGTACAGTGATTTTGGCCAAATTTTGCCAAAAATGAAAAGATGAGAATTCTCCATTTTTATAATTTTTTCTGATGCATATACATGTACTTATGTTCCATATTAAGTTTGATGAACTGCTTTTCTCTCTATACAGCAAGCATTCCCCATCTCTTATCACACGATATCATCAACCAACATTATTAGCACTGGAAACACTACTGACAATGATACTGGCATTAGAATCAACCAACACCACCACTACTGATAATGATGATACCAATGATGGTGATACTAATAGAATGTGTACTAAAAATGGAGGGAAAGTTGCAGGTGACTGCAGGGGCGGATCTAGGATTGAATTTTTGGGTGGGCACTGATGATGTAGGTGGGGTAATTAGTGGGTGTGGCCAACAAATCCTGCATTGAAAGTCAAAATTTTGAAGATTTAGCCAGTTAAAATGAGCTCCTTTGTGGTTTACAAATTGTTTTTATAGTCATGCTTCACAGTTTACATAGTAGTTTACATTAAAAAGCTAATTTTAAATTACTGCACAAAATTTTTGGGTGGGCCTGGCCCAGCCAGGCCCACCCTTAGATCCGCCACTGGGTGACTGTAATAAAGGAGTGAGTGTGAATTGATCTGCTTGGATCATATTCTCATCTGATAAGCAGCAGGAACCAGATATCATTCTAAATGGAGCAGAGGAGGTGGGTGGAGCTATATCAGAACCTAATATGGCGTTTTGGCCTTTTGTCACTTCATTTAACCGTTTTTAAGATTAATTTCAATCATTATTGATCTAATTTTACATTTTTGTGTTCCATTTGTAGGTACCGTCAAGGATCTCAAGTCCTTTTTTGTGGGCAGACTTGACACCTTGTCATCAAATTTACATGAATGAACATTAATGATGTACATGTACTTAAATGTCTATCTCTTTCTCTAGTAATTCTGTAACTCTCATGTGTACTACTTGTGGTGTTTGCAAAGTCTCTCTTCTCAGGGAATTCTGTAACAAAACAGGTTAGATGGCATCATACCTCATTAATATTCATTGACTGCACCCCTTATCAGGAGTACAGATTACATTGAAGGATTACAAATTTTCCTTGACTGCTCCATTCAATGAAGGTGATCTTGCCTGTATTGTACCTGTTGTTAAGCACACTGATTTTAAAGTGAGACAAAACTTCATTTATTACTGCTTTGTACTGTCACTTTTGCTACACAATATATACCGTAGTTTAGGGAATTTATGTGGTAGAAACTTTTGTGTTTTTAAATGATGCTGTTATTTAATTTTACCAAATAAGACTGTGTCATGTATTATTGAATGTGGCATATAATTATGTAGGTGATCTAATTTTTTTGGAATTCTAATCCAGTGAAATTAAAATCACAGTGAAAAATTCAG